GGCAGCTTTACCCACCATGCCACAGTACCGGTCCTCCCCGGCCCCCAGGGTGTTTTTTGTTTCTGCTTTCTTCAGCTCTTCTAATATTTATTTATTTTTTGGACAGGCAGAGTTAGACAGTGAGAGAGACAGAGAGAGAGTTATAGACAGTGAGAGGGACAGAGAGAAAGGTCTTCCTTCTGTTGGTTCACTCTCCTAATGGCCGCCACGGCCGGCGTGATCCAAAGCCAGGAGCCGGGTGCTTCCTCCCGGTCTCCCATGCAGGCGCAGGGACCCAAGCACTTGGGCCATCCTCCACTGCTTTCTCGGGCCACGGCAGAGAGCTGGACTGGAAGAGGAGCAGCTGGGACAGAATCTGATTCCCCAACTGGGACTAGAACCTGGGGTGCTGGCGCCGCAGGCAGAGGATTAGCCTAGCTGGCCAGCTCTTCTCTGTCTATAAAACTGAAATCAAGTCCTTGTGGTACTCACCGAAGTTGTGAGTTCACTTCCTGGTGAGTACTAAGAAATGTGCCAGGGGGCCGGCGCCGTGGCTCACTTGGTTAATCCTCAGTCTGCGGCACTGGCATCCCATATGGGCGCCAGGTTCTAGCCCCGGTTGCCCCTCTTCCAGTCCAACTCTCTGCTGTGGCCAGGGAGTGCAGTGGAGGATGGCCCAGATGCTTGGGCCCTGCACCCACATGGGAGACCAGGAGGAAGCACCTGGCTCCTGGCTTCGGATTGGTGCAGCGCCGGCCTTGGCGGCCATTTGGGGAGTGAACCAACGGAAAAATGAAGACCTTTCTCTCTCTCTCTCACTGTCTATAACTCTACCTGTCAAATAAATAAAAAAAGAAAAAATACATAAGCAATGTTTGAAGAAAAAAAAAAAAAAAAAAAAAGAAGAAGTTCCTGGCTCCTGGCTTTGGCCTAGCCCATTGCTGGTTGTTGCAGCCATCTAGGGAGTGAACCAGCACATGTAAGATCTCTTTCTCTGTAAATTTTACTTTAAAATAAATAAATAAATCTTAAAAAAAAAATGCATTTCAGCTGGCGCCGCGGCTCACTAGGCTAATCCTCCGCCTGTGTGCCGGCACCCTGGGTTCTAGCCCCGGTTGGGGCGCCGGATTCTGTCCCGGTTGCTCCTCTTCCAGTCCAGCTCTCTGCTGTGGCCCAGGAAGGCAGTGGAGGATGGCCCAAGTGCTTGGGCCCTGCACCCCATGGGAGATCAGGAGGAAGCACTTGGCTCCTGGCTTTGGATCAGCACAGCGTACTGGCCCATAGCGGCCACGTGGGGGGTGAACCAACGGAAAAAGGAAGACCTTTCTCTCTGTCTCTCTCTCTCTCACTGCTAACTCTGCCTGTCAAAAAAAAAAAAAATTTCTCACTGTGTATTTTTAAAGATTTATTCATTTTATTTGAAAGTCAGAAATATGCAGTTCACGGCCCAGATGGCTGCAAAGGCTGAAAGCAGAGCCAGGGGAGTCTGCCAAGTGAGTGGCAGGAGCCCAAACACCTGGCTGTCCTCCACTGCTTTTTCTCAGGACATTAGCAGGGAGCTGGACCAGAGGTGGGGCAGCAGGGACGTGGACTGATGCCCACATGGGATGCCAGTGTTGCAGACAGGGGCTTTACCTGCTACACCACAACGCCAGCCCCATTTCTAAAGGTTTTAAAGCCATTCTGTACCTGATGCAGGAAGGGAGTAAAGCAAGGAGCTCAGGTCGGTCACTAGCCCCTCCCTGTAACCTCACCAGTGTTGCAGCCCCTACTGAACTACCCAAACCCTCCCCAACTTCTGTGCAGCAAAAAACCACAGGTTCTCTGTTTCCAACTGGCAATAGCTAAAAATATACAACATGACTGTTGGCGACCCCACGAAGACCTTTAGCTAACTCATGGCTAGCACGCCCACTCCCATCATGCACCACACACCAGGACACTCCTGAGCTTTCCAAAAAAAGGACAAGGAAAGGGGTGGTACACAAGCCCTGCCCCAAACTTCCCTACATTTGAATATTCAATTAGGACCCACCCCAGATACCACCCCTATGCCTCCAGTTCATACAAACGGATGGACTTCAACCTCATGCAAGCCCGCATGCCTGCACTTTCTTGAGGGCGTATTTTCCCTTTACCTTCACATTCTTTCTTACGCTGGAGACGAGAATCTGGACCCAGCTACCCCATGGCTCCCAGTCCTCACAGCTCCCACACCTTTCATTCCCTTCTCCTCACAATGTACCTGCTTGTCAATCAACAAACTCTGAAAGGACACACAGAACGGTGGTAGCACCGGTTGCGCCAGAGCTTTAACTTCTGAGTTTTGACTACCTGCAGTGCTTGAATCCACCAGTTATCAGCAAGAAGGACAAAGACAAACCCACCAGCCATGAGCTTCCTGGAGAAAAACTATCTGTCAGCAGCCTCTTCTGGCCCCCGTCTCATGAACTAATCCGTGAGCGCTCAGTCCCCGGTTTGCTCTGTCTCCCTTTCCCTCGTGTCTACATTAGGACTATGACATCAATGAAATAAAGAAACTAAACGGTAAAAGAAGTGTTTGGGTTCTTTCTGAAATGTGACATCATGCACTTTCCTTTAGTTTATGTTTACTAAACTATCAGAGCTCTAAACAAATAAAAGAACAGAAACAAGTCCTCAACTTGAAATAAACTGGAAAACGAGGAATACTGTTAACATGTGACAAACTTTTAGGAATTTCTAGAGGCCAGAAAGTTGGTAAAATTTGAAAACAAAGGCAGAGAAAAGCAAATACTGGGCAAACAGCAACAAAAAGAAAACTTTGTGACTATCAACAGGAACAAGGTGAAATTCAAGGTGCCAGGCAGTAAATGGAAGGATATTTTATTTATCTATTTTTATACATGTTTATTTATTATCATTTTATTTGAAAGGTAGAGAGAAAGAGAGAGAGAGGGAGGGAAGGAGGGAGAGAGGGAGGGAGGGAGGGAAGGAGGGAAGGGGGGAGGGGGGGGAGGGAGGGAGGGAGGCAGGGAGGCAGGGAGAGAAGGAGGGAGGCAGGGAGGCAGGCAGGGAGGGAGGGAGGGAGGCAGGGAGGCAGGGAGAGAAGGAGGGAGGCAGGGAGGCAGGGAGGGAGGGAGGGAGGGAGGGAGGGAGAGAAGGAGAGAAGGAGGGAGGCAGGGAGGCAGGGAGGCAGTCAGGAGCCAGAAACACAATCTCCCTGGTGGGAAGCAGGAACCCAAGCACTTGAGCAATTTCCTGTGACTTCCCACAATGTGCACTAGCAGGAAGCTGGAACTGAAGCTCTCGAGACAGGGCTTAACTGCTGGGATAAACACCTGTCCTTAGAGGGCTATTTTAATCAAATAATATAAGAAAAAGAATTAATCATAACTAAAGAAGCTAGAAAAACAACAAAGCTCAAAGCAGTGAGCTCAATTAAAAACAAAATGGTAATCTGAAAACAATTTAATTTAAAAATTTTAAGATTTACTTGTTTTCATTTCATTTGAAAGGCAGAGAAACAGACAGACAGATCTTCTATCCACTGGTTCACTTCCCAAATGCCTGCAACAACCAGGGCTGGGCCAGGTCAAAGTCAGGAGCCGGGAATGCCACTAGGATCTCCCATGTGAGTGGCAGAGACACAAGAACTTAAGCAACTACCTGCTGCCTCTCAAGGTGTACTTAGCAGGAAGCTGGGCTGGAAGTGGAAAAGTTAGGACTTGAAGTAGGGATTCCAAGATGGAATGTGGGCATTGAAACTGGTGACTTGAAGACTGCACGAAATGCTCACCCCAGAAAATAGCTTTAAAAACAGACTACAAAGGAAGCAGCATCTGGCCTGGGTTAAGATGCCAACTGGGATACCAGCCTTTTACATGGTGCTGCCTGGGTTCAACAGCTGCCCTGTCCAGCTTCTGCCTCTAGCTTCTTGCTCATGTGGACCCTGACAGGCAGCAGGGAGGGCGCAAGTCTTTGGGGGGTTCCTGCTACTTATGTGGGAGACTCCTGGCTTCATAAAACACAGTGCAGCCCTAGCCAGTGTGGATATCTGCAGCTTGAACCAGCAGATGGAATTGTGCATTCTTTCTCCTTCTGCTTTTCAATTAAACAGAAAAAAGTAAAAGTAGATTATAGAAACTTTGGTTAAGGGGAAAAAAAGACACAGGTAGATGGTAACATAATGCTAAAAGAGTCACAAATGGACTGTTGTATACCACAGTGCCAACCAAGCTGAAAAGGGGTAAAAACACACTGCCCTGCTTTTGGTTCTTAAGGGTCAACACTGCAAAAATGGAGTTATTCCTTTTATTACAAATGTTTCATTTACTTTGGCTTCAGACAGTAATGTTAAACTGCTTTTAAAATTGACTATCTGGGGGCTGGCATGGTGGCACAGCAGGTAAAGCTGCCTCCTGCCATGCTGGCGTCCCATACGAGTATCAGTTTGAGTCCCAGCTGCACCACTTCTGATCTAGCTCTGTGATAATGCACCTGGGAAAGCAGTGGAAGATGGCCTGAAGCTGCTGACTGCTGGCTCTGGATCGGCCCAGCTCTGGCCATTGTAGTCATTTGAGGAATGAACCAGCGGATGGAAGATTTCTCTAACTCTGCCTTTCAAATAAATAAACAAATCTTTTTTTTTTTTTTAAAAGATTGACTATTAAGTATATCCTTTAACTGTTTCCAGAAAAGGATATGCAAAAATAGTGTATTTTTGAGATGTTACCTGCTCAAAGTGTCTTAATTCTGCTCTCAAATTTGAGAGGCGGGGTGCGAAGTGGGAAGGGAGAGAGGGGAGAAGAAAAGAGAGAGCTCCCTCATCCACTGGTTCATTCTCCGAATGTCCGCACCAGCTGGGGTTAGGCTGGGTTGGGGGCTGGGAAAGTAACCCAGGAACTCAGCACTCTGGATCTCCAGCGCTGCCTCCACAGTCTGCGGGAACAGGAGGCTGGGCTCAGGGGCAGGAGCCCGGAGCCAAACCCCAGCACTCTGGTGTGGGATGTGGATGTCTTAACCACTAGGCTAAATGCTCACTCCCTTCACTCTCAGATTCAGCAGACAGTTTGATTAGGGATAAATCTACAAGCTGGTATGTATAGTAAAAAATCCATCTGATCTTTGTCTCTGGTACAGAACGTCAAAAACCTAAGGTGGGCCCCAGATAGCTTCAGGCTGGGTGCTTTTCACCATGGGATCACAGGGTCAGAGCTTTGGGCCAGACTGACCTCTGGGGAACAGACAGGACTGCAAACTTAGGCCTACAGAATGAAATCCCGATACAGATTCTGGATGCAGAAGCTCAGGAGCGCTTCCTGGCTGTGGAAAGACCAATACACCAGAAGGGTGACGTGCCCAGGCTCCCAGGAGGAGCACCCTGCACTCCAGCCCTCCCTGGACTCTTCCCCATGGATCTTTACACTTGGCCACTCCTGGTCTGCACCTTTATAATGAAATTGTAATTTTAAATTGAGTCCAGGGAGTCTCTGAGATGATCTAGTGAACAACAATCCAAGGAGGCTGTGGGATGCTCTGTGGGATGCTGTGGGATGTTTGTAATACACTGTGTAGAAATGTGGGTGGCTTGGGGACACTCGGAATTCGTGAACTGTAGGGTGTCCAGAGATGTCAAAGAATTGGTATGAAACATACCTAAAAACGTTATAATCTTTAAGAAGCTGCAACACTAGTTTTCAGGGTTGCTATTTATATATCTAAAGGCACTGTATTTCTATTCATTTGAGTGAAATTTCTCTTCCCTTCCTTCTCTAGAGGGTTCGAGGGTTTTCTCTTTTTCCTCAGTAACCTGAACTTTCATCATGATGTGCCTTAGTCTGGGATTATTTTAACTTGTGTGGTTACAATGGAGAGACCACTTCATTTGGGAAACTATGTCATCATATTCTGGGAATTTTTGATTTGTCTCTTATGATGACATTACCTCTCTAATTTCTCCATTCTCTTTCTGGAACAACTGGGATGATTTTGATTTTCTATTTTTCAAATAAAATAAAGTGTTAAACTAAGACCTAGTTTCCAACGGCCTTCATCTTCTTAAAGTTTCATTCATTTATTTATATGAAGACAGAGAGAAAGACAGAGATCTTTCATTTGCTGATTCAATCCCCAAAAGCCCATAACAGTGAGAACTGGACAAAGCCAAAGTCAGTAGCTCTCACAAGGGTGGCAGGGACTCGATTACTTGAGCTATCATCTGCTGCCTCCCAGGCAAATTATCAGGAAGCTGGATCAGAAGCCAGGGAGGGACTCAATACCAGGCACTCTGATATGGGATTTGGGCATCCCAAGGGGTGGTTTAATCCACTGCACTACAATGCCCACCCCCTAAAAATTTACTTACTTTTATTTTATTATTGAAAGTGAGACAGAGACACAGAGACATGAAAAGGGAGAGAAAGAGATCTTCCACTTGCTGATTCACTCCCCAGATGCCTGCAACAGCTGGGGCTCAAAACCAGAAGCACACGTGGGTGGCAGGAACCCAAGTACTCGAGGCATCACCTGTTACCTCCCAAAGATGTGCTTAGCCAGAACTGGGAATTGGGCGTGGAGCCAGGACTCAAAATCAAGCACATAATATGGGATGTGGATATCCCAAATGGTATCTTACCTGCAGTGCCAAACACACATCCGACTCAATTTTTCTCTTTTCCATCTGATTATCTCTGATTATCTGGTTTTATTTTGATAATTTTATAATCTTTCTATTGGGTTTTTCATTTCTGTTATTACAATTTTATTCCCATGAACTCTTGGGTGATTGCTGAAATGTTCCTTCTGTATATCATCCTTTCCTGCTTTATGCTACATTATCTTTTTTATTTTTAAATTGAGAACAGTAATGTTAGTTTTATTTTAGAATTTTTTCCCTGTTAGAAGAAATAATCTACTTCTGTGATCTTCTTATTAGAAACTTTCTTAGAATGTCTGGTGGTGATTTATTAGTGTTTATCCATATTTCAGAGTGGGCTATCTATGAAGAAGATGCAGCTCTATGCCCAAGGGATGTATTTTGTCTACTCTAGACAAGATGGTCTACCTGGGCTGTTTTCTGCAAATCTTCCAATATAAATGTCTTTCCATGTCTTTTCTTCAGTTAGCCATGTGTATTAGCAAAGTGCCTTCCAGAAACTTGTCTGGAGATGATAAGCCTGATGCCAGAGGACTCAGTATTAAGTAAGTTTTTACCTAGTTCAGTTCCCTGTATGATGCCTCACCTTAAGTTCTCTCAGGCTTACCCCTATTCAAAGACCCTCATCCTTTCAGAGAAAGAAAGTCTCTCTTAAGAGTGGAAAGGAGCAGTCACCCTAGTGTGCAGAGTTGTGGAGAAGTTCTGGACACCCCATCTGTGTCAAACACAGTTCTGCTTTTAGCCCTTTTTTACTCTTCTATCCAGGGTAAATAGTGTAGGCAGTTCTGGAACCTTCTGGGTACAGTGGGTTGCCTCAGGCTTTTCCTACTGCTGGTGTAGAGTGAACTCTGATACATCAGAACAGTCACCACTTGGCTGCTTCCCTTATGGCTCCCCAAACTTTATCACTCTCACTCCCCCTGGTCTTTGTGCCCTTTTTCATTTTATACTTTTACTATCATTTCATGGAATTTGTGAGGTACACATTGGTAAACAGGTGTGATCAATTCTTACCATATGAATCATTCTTACTGATTGATAACAGTCAAATTAAGTTAGTTATCGTTAATATGTAACCAGGTAGCTGATGTAATTTATCTATATTTATGGCTCCATAAATTGTAACTGCCTAAAAGTTACAAGGAAACAAAATAGTCAAGATTTTTGGCTTAATTTCATGAGAAAGTTACAGAATATCTCAATTCTCTAGAAGAACACTCAACATTTAAATGATGCCACATGAATTATATATTTTCTTTTCTTAGAAAAACTACCTATATTTATACTTGCAAACAAAAAAAAAAAGCAATTTACTAACCTCTGCTTCTGTTGCTTGAGACTGTAAAAGCTGTCGTATACGAAGTATGTCTTTCTCTATTTGCTGAATTCTGGCTATTCTTCGCTAAAAATAAAATAAGAGACCAAATTAGGCATCTTTTTGTTAAAAGCATTAGTATAAATAATCACACTGTACCTACCAATGAAAGGTTCAGGTTGTGTCAAACCATTTTTATGGAAGAAGTTAAGATATTTTAACAGATTCACGTACTAATAACAAATTGGTATCTTTTTTTTTTTTTTTTTTAAGATTTAGTTATTTGAAAGGCAGAGTGACAAAGACAGAGAGGGAGAGACAGAGAAAGAGATCTCCCACCCACTGGTTCACACCTTAAATGGCTACAACAGCCAGGTATGGGTCAGGCTGAAGCCAGTATGGGAACTCCATCCAGGTTTCCCACGTGGGTGGCAGGAACCCAAGCACTCAGGCCACATTAATTCCACTTTCTATTAAACTTTTCTGAAGTCTTCTGTGTCTTCTTTCCTAGTACCCAGTGTACTAAACTCTGCTAAATGTGGAGAGGCACTGACCGAGGCAGGGGCTTGGGAACCCTCTTCACTCCTTATTTATTCACTCCCAGAATGCTTACAGTTTAGGGATCTTTCTTTATGTACTATAAGTATTTTCCCTTGGTTTCTCTCTTGTGAGATGAATGCTTTCCAGTTTTATGAAATAAACCCCCAGGTACCTCCTTCCCTTTCTTCCTTTAGTTGCCAATCCTTTTTAAAATATTTATTTGAAAGGTAGAGTAACAGAGAGGGGAGACACAGAGGGAGAAAGAGATCTTCCATTTGCTAGTTTACTCTCTAAATGCCCACAGCACCAAGGGCAGGGCAGGCCAAAGTGAGGAGCTCCCTCTGGGTCTCCCAAACGAGTGACAAGGACCCATGCACTTGGGTCATCATTCACTGCCTTTCGTGCTCATTAGTAGGAAGCTGGACTCGGACTGAAACCAGGCACTCCGATATGGGATGCAGGCATCCCAAGTGGCAGCCTAACTTGTTGTGCCATAGAATGTATCCATTATTTTTTATATTTTCTTCTATTAATTTTAGGTTTATTTTTCACCTGTGGATGTTTAATCCAGCTGTAATTTTTCTTGTTTAGGATGTGAAGTAGGGGACTAATTTAACTTCTTATATTCCAATAGGTGGCTATTTGTACTTACATTATTTATTTACTATTTTTCCTAAAGTTTATATTGTGACTTTTATCATATAAAGTTCTGAACATTCACGCAACTTTTCCTAGTGTCTACGTCATACTATTTGCCTACTTCTACTTCTGAGTTACTATTATGATTATTCCAACATCTTTACAGTGAATTTTAACAAATGTAAAGGTAAATCTTCACTTATGATGCTTTCTTTCCTAAATGTTTTTGGAAGTTCTTGTATTATACACTTCAAATCATTTTTCCTGGTTCCAAAACACTGATTATCACGAAACTGTGTATTTGTGCATTAATTTAAAGGACACACATTTTTATGACATTAAAGCCTTTTCATCTAGAGTTCTCCATTTTTAAGATTACTTTGGGTCCTTTAGCAATTTTATATTTTTATGTAGGTTTTCCTAGGTATTTAAAAATTTATCTATATTTAAAAAATATTTATTTACATCTATTTGAAAGGCAAAGCAACGCAGAGAAATAGATCTTTCCTCTGCTGTTTCATTCCCCAGATGCCTGCAAAAGGCCTGGTGAGAAACCTGGCACTCCATGTGGGTCTACCGCATGAGTGGCAGGGGTCCCAGACACCTGACTCATCTGCTGCCTCTCAGGAAGCAATAGCAGAGAGCTGATCCAAAGCAGAGTAGCTGGGACTTGAACTGGCACTCCCATATGCGATGTGGACATCCCTTGCAGTGTCTTAACCTGCTATGTGACAATGCTCACCCTTTATATATATATATATATTCTTTTTATTTAAAAAGTGAAGATATTGCAAGACAGAGACAGACAGAGACCATCCATCTAATGGTTCACTCCCCAAGTGCCTGCAATAGCTAGAGCTGGGCCAGATCAAACCAGGAGCCAGAAACTCAATCCAAATCTCTGATCTGAGTAGCAGGGAATCAAGTAATTGAGCTACCACTACCTACTACCTCTCAGGGTGTACATTAGCAGGAATGCTGCAATTGGAAGTAGAGCCAGACTTGAACCCAGTCACTCCAAAATGGGATGTGGGCATCCCAAGCAGTGCCTTAACCCCTGTGTCAAACACTCGGCCCTCTAAGTATTTTAACATTTCCTATTCTTGCAAACAGGAGCCTCCTACCCTCATTTCCATTTTTAACTGGTAGCTACCACTACTAGCGAAAAGATACTAATTTTTATTTTATTCTTTTTAAAAGATTTATTTATTTGAAAGGCAGAGTTAAAGAGAGGCAGAGAAAGAAAGGTCTTCCATCCACTGGTTCACTCCCCAAATGGCCACAATGGCTGGAACTGGGCTGATCCAAAGCCAGGAGCCAGAAGCTTCTTCCAGATCTCGCATACAAGTACAGCGGCCCAAGCACTTGGACCATCTTTTACTGCCTTCCCAGGCCATAGCAGAGAGCTGGATAGGAAACGGAGCAGCTGGGACTCGAACCAGCGCCCATATTTGATGCCGGCACAGCAGGTGGCAGCTTTACTTGCTTTGTTGGCCCCAGCTACTGATTTTTTTTTTTTTTTTTTTTTGACAGGCAGAGTTAGACAGTGAGAGAGAGAGACAGAGAGAAAGGTCTTCCTTCCGTTGGTTTACTCCCCAAATGGCTGCTACGGCCAGCGTACTGCACCAATCCAAAACCAGGAGCCAGGTGCTTCCTCCTGGTCTCCCATGCTGATACAGGGCCCAAGCACTTGGGCCATCCTCCACTGCCTTCCCGGGCCACAGCAGAGAGCTGGACTGGAAGAGGAGCAACCGGGACAGAATCCGGCGCCCCAACCGGGTCTAGAACCCGGGGTGCTGGTGCCTTGGGCGGAGGATTAGCCAAGTGAGCCGTAGCGCCAGCCCAGCTACTGATTTTTAAATGTAACTTAACTCTAGTCATCTTAGTAAACTTTTAAAAATCAGTTTACATACTCTAGTTCATTCTCTAGGGTTTTTCTTGGCAAATAACCATATCATGAGCAACGGAAAAAAAGACAAAGACAGAAAGCTCATCCATTGGGTCTCCCATGTGGGTGACAAGGAGCTAAGTACCTGAGCCAATACCTTCTGTCTGCCACAGTGTGCACTAGCCAGAAGACGAAACTGGAAGCGGAGCTAGGACTAGAACACAAGCATTTTGATATGGGACACAAGAACGCCAAGCGCATCTCAACAGTTACATGAAATACCCACTCCAGTTAACCTTCTTTTCTGACAACTGTCGAGGGTAAAGAATGGTAACGTTCTCCAGCCAACTTATTTCATCTATACTCATGTTCTCTTTATGCTTCCTTCCTACTATTCCTGAATAAGGGCTTCCTTTTTTTAATGCATATTTTTTTTCTTAATATTTTTAAAAAATTTATTTGAAAGGCATAATTAGGGGAGGGAGGAGAGAGACAGAGATCTTCCATCTGTTGGTTCACTCTACAAATGGCCACCAACAGCTGTGGCTAGGCCATGCAGAAGCCAGGAGCCCTGAGCTTCTTCCAGGTCTCCCTCATTGGTATGCAAGGTCTCAAGTACTTGGACCATCCTCCAGAGCTTTCCCAGGCACATTAGCAGGGAGCTGGATCAGAAGTACAGCAGTCGGGTCTCGAACCAATGCCCAAATGGGATGCTAGCACTGTATGCAGAGGCTTAACCTGCTATGCCACAATGCCAGCCCAGGACACAATCTGAACATCAAGTGACATATTCTGAGTGTCACTGCACATACTTAGGTTACAAGGAGGAAAAGTCTCAAAGGAGAACTAAAGCTAGATATCAGCTACCAAAAGATCAACATCTAACTCTTTCTCACCCTCATATTTTCAAAGCAAAACAGGACAGCAGCAGAAGTTAATGTGGAGGAGAGAGAATTCTGTGAATACTGGTTGTGCTACCCAGCAGCCCTGGTAAATTATTCTTATTTTCAAATAGTACAAATATAGGGGCCAGCTCCGTGGTGCAGTAGGTTAATCCTCCACCTGCGACGCCGGCATCCAAAAATGGGCGCCGATTCTAGTCCCTCTTTCAATCTAGCTCTCTGCTATGGCCTGGAAAAGCAGTAGAAGATGGCCCAAGTGCTTGGGGCCCTGCACCAGCATGGGAGACCGGGAGGAAGCACCTGGCTTCTGGCTTCAGATCAGTGAAGCTCCAGCTGTTGCAGCCATCTGGGGAGTGAACCAATGGAAGGAAGACCTTTCTCTCTATCTCTGTCTCTCAAATAAATAAATTAAATCTTAAAAAAAAAGAAATAGTACCAATATACAGACTTACAAATATCTTTAATAAGAAAACCCAACTAATATTAATAGAGCTATGGTTCATTACACTCCTAGCAGCTCTTCCCTAGCTGGTGCTGATTCACAGTTAAGGAAGTTACCTGTGCTCGTTTTTCCATGTCTTGGCAAGTACCTAGTTGTTCTTCCATTGCAACTCTGATTTGTCTTGCTTCATATTCCAATTGCCTTCTAGTCATATCTGTTTGTAAGGAAAACTAAAACCACAAATAATATAAAAATATTTTAACATCCCATTACATTTGTGTGTTTATCAGTAAAAGCAAAAAAAGTTCCAACAGAGAAAATGAACAGGCAAATGTGTAAACCATGACAAATGAGAAGACTATTTTTTTACTCCACGGAATCCTAAAACTTGATTACACATACTAGGATCAGTCTATAAAATCCCAGGCACTGTACAAAAGGAGGAAAAAGAAAGGTCATCAAACTGATAAACAAACGCCCCAAGCCGTAACAAAGGCCAACAGCATGCCGAGGTAGCGTGACAGTAACAGAGTTACAAGGGCCATGGGAGGAACAAGGAAGTGTAGATTCTTCCTATGGGACAAGCCCACTGAAAACTGCAGGGGAGCCACATGTGACTCAGAACAGCATCGCGGTCCAGGAACTGCAGCCTGTGCCGTCAGTTCAAGCTGCACAGGTCTCACCCTTTCCTTCGCACACACAGAGGAAATTCATTTGCAGTACGGACTCCTGTGGGAAGTCCAGATTATGGCTGCAACAGATGGAAGAACTCTGTGTCTTATCTGTGACTCCCATGGAGACAATTCTAATTCCACTCGTGTGCCTTCCACGTCCCAAACTCACCCCCACAAATAAAAATGTCGAACATGACACAGTTACAATAATGTGGTATAAATCTGTTTAAGTAACATCTACTACCTTGATAAGCAGGTAAGTATTCCATATGAAAGTGTTCATTAATGTGGCTTCCCAGAATTAAAGTAAAATTCGCAAAAATAAAAAATGTTATAAAACAGTTTCAATTTGCTAATATGTTACCAACAGTTTATAATGTCTTTATTCTATTGAATAAAAGTGATCATTTAGTGATTGGGAATAAATATCTGACAACTGATCTCCGTTTCAGATAGTGACAGACTGCTTGAGTTGTCACACACACCTGACCCCTTTCTTGAATCTGACTACATGCAGACAGCTGGACTCTGAATTTCATATATTCCCTAATTACCAAGAGTGAATGTGGGCAAAGCTATGCTTTGGTGTTTCTGATTACAAAAATGAAAATTCTGTGAAATCCCTCGAATTCCTAATCCTCACCACTAACAACACTCCAAGAGCTGTTCTTTCACTATTTGTACCTCCTTTCTTCCCAGGAAGAGCATAAGACACAATCAGAAAGAGATGTAAGCCATCTTTCAAAACCCTGGATGTCTGCAGTAGGAGAGCACGCCCCTCCACTGCCTCTCTCCTCCTGCCAGCCAGGGCCCACTCAGGAGACCCAGCTGACTACGTGTCTGCAAAGGGTCATCCTTCCCTCTATCATCACTATTTTGTGTATTGTTCATACTTTTCCAAGCGCTACTAGGAAATGAAAAATCTAAGCTGAGAGAGAAAGCTGTATCTTAGCCTATTTTCTTTTTTAAACATTACAAAAAATGTTTATGGACAACTCTTGAAATATACAGTCTTACTGGAAATTATTACTGTATTTCAGAAATATTCTTCTATGTGTCATCCCATGGACAAAATAAAATATGGAAAGGTTGGGTAGAGAGGGAGAGGCTAACAGGACTAAAATCTCTTGACACAGTCGTATTTGGAAAACTGCAAACAAACTTTAGTATTTGCAAAAAAGACCAAGAACCATGCTTGCAACTATTGTCATGTATGCCTACATAGTATTCAAATTATCCTCAAAGATACTTTTACTGCAAAATCTATCTGGCCTGACACATGTCACATGATCCCAAAAAAGGCAGATAAGTATTTCTCCAGACTGTGTCTGGCAATTCCATAGTATAAACTGCTTGCCTGGTTGAACTCTGAGTGCAGGATTCAAAATTAAGAAAATGTTCTCAACTAGGAACTGAAATATGTGAGCATAGTCATCTTTATAAACAAAAATTCACCATTACATTCAGAGTAAAAGCTGGATAACATGCATGACAGTTTACAAATAACTATAAATTCATTAATCTTGAATTTTTTTTTTTTTTTTTTTTTGACAGGCAGAGTGGACAGTGAGAGAGAGAGACAGAGAGAAAGGTCTTCCTTTGCCGTTGGTTCACCCTCCAATGGCCGCCGCGGCCAGCGCGCTGCGGCCGGCGTACCACGCTGATCCGATGGCAGGAGCCAGGAGCCAGGTGCTTTTCCTGGTCTCCCATGGGGTGCAGGGCCCAAGCACCTGGGCCATCCTCCACTGCACTCCCTGGCCACAGCAGAGGGCTGGCCTGGAAGAGGGGCAACCGGGACAGAATCCGGCGCCCCGACCGGGACTAGAACCCGGTGTGCCGGCGCTGCTAGGCGGAGGATTAGCCTAGTGAGCCGCGGCGCCGGCCTAATCTTGAATTTTTAGTTGATAACCTAGGTACTTTAAAGATCAAGTTATTAAAACCTAAAATCAGTTGTATTACCTACCAAGTTACTTACATTTTCAGTTAAAGGAAGACTATCTATTCTTTTAGTGAGATTCTGAAGTTGAGCATAATACCAGTCTTTTTCCTTTTCTTCTTTGTCAAGATCAGCAAGAAGTAATGATCTATGTTTTTAAAAAAGGTAAGTTTACACAATGCCAATATACAGTATAAAAGTAACCCATACCAGCTATAACTGTAAAGTTCTCTATTTAAAGTATTAAAAATGAATTTTAAAACTTATGAATTTGGATTTTGAAGGTAAGACAGAATATTATAATCATTAATATTTGAATACTGAAAGACTTATATTTTTTCCTTAAAAGGTTGATCATTATTCTTACAAGAATACTTACATTTTAACCAAAGGCATTCCTCAAGTTTAGAACATGATGATAGGAAAAAGGTAGATATAACAAAACTCAAAATTACCTCAAGAATAAAAGGTATAGTACACATATCAAGAAAAGAAGAACGCCAGAAAACAATTCTAGAATACAGGAAGCTACTACTTTGGACACCAATACAGTTTCCAGCCTTTTGTAGCCAAAACAGAAATATAGAAATATATCATCACTTCATAATTAGAAGCAGTGATTCTGAGGAAGACAAACTTTTTGGTTTGGGATTTGAAGATGAATTTGTCATGTAGTTCCTGAACAACTCAACTGATGGTGTCTTTAACAGCAATCCATATCAAGATATGAACTCTACCTGCTCACTATATACATAAATGTACAATGAAAGAACAGTGTTACTGGGATAAAAGTTAGTAGCTACAAAAAACACATGGTCTACTTCTTTTTAGAGGAACTACTATTAAAATTTTCTTATGTGTATCTCCAGAGATAGTCTATAAAGAGTCAAGAATGTATGTGCCACTGGCATGTATACTTCAAACATAAAGAATAACACATCATTACATAAATCTTGTCCTTTAACATTTTTTTAATTTAAAAAACCTCTGTTGGAGATCATTTCCAGAACATAAAGAGGCAGTATTTTTTTTTTTTTTTGCCGGCTACATAATATTAGATGTTTTCCAGTCGTCAGGAATCCATGATGGGATCCACTCTAGCCAGTTCTTTATAAGTAGGCACTTAAGCCTTTCTCAACTTTTGCTATTATAAGCAATGTTATATTGAATATTCTTATCTGTACCTCATTTCACACATGTGTTAGCATGCATACAAGATAAATTTCTAGGGCATATGTATTTTTAACTTATTTATGTTCCCACCACTTGCACTGATGTAAAACTTTAATCTAATTTTAACTGTAATTTTTGTATACTTAGTCTTTTTTTTTTTTTTTTTTTTTTTTTTTGACAGGCAGAGTGGACAGTGAGAGAGAGACAGAGAAAGGTCTTCCTTTGCTGTTGGTTCACCCTCCAATGGCCGCCGCGGCTGGCGCACTGCGGCCGGCGCACCGCGCTGATCCGATGGCAGGAGCCAGGAGCCAGGTGCTTTTCCTGGTCTCCCATGGGGTGCAGGGCCCAAGCACCTGGGCCATCCTCCACTGCACTCCCTGGCCACAGCAGAGAGCTGGCCTGGAAGAGGGGCAACCGGGACAGAATCCGGCGCCCCAACCGGGACTAGAACCCGGTGTGCCGGCGCCGCTGGGCGGAGGATTAGCCTAGTGAGCCGCGGCGCCGGCCTGTATACTTAGTCTTTAAAACAAAGTATATCATGTGAGTTTAATATGAATTCCCTTAAAATTTAAGAGTAAGGATAAGTATTGTCTTTCAAGTTTAAAAGCTATCTGCATTTCTTTTTCTGTGACTTTTTCTTACTCACTCATAAGACCTCTTTGTATTAAGAATGACAGTATTGTGGTCCATAAGCTGTACTTTGGAAATTTATGCTCATTAAATAAAAAAAAAAATTAAAAAAAAAAAAAAAGAATGACAGTATTAGGGCTGGTACTGTGGCGCAGTAGGTTAAGCCTCTGCCTGTGGCACCAGCATCCCCTATGGGAGCTGGTTCAAGTCCTAGCTGCTCCTTTTCCGATCCTATGGCCTGGGAAAGCAGTAGAAAATGGCTCAACCGCTTGGGCCCCTGTACCTATGTGGGAGATCCAGAAGAAGCTCCTGGCTCCTGGCTTTGGATTGGCTCAGCTCTGGCTGTTGCAGCCGCCATATGGGGAGTGAACCAGCGGATGGAAGACCTTTCTGTCTCTCCCTTTCACTGTCTGTAACTCTATCTCTCAGATAAATAAAAATATTTTTATTTTTTAAAAAAAGAATGACCAAAAAAAAAAAAAAAAAGAAAGAAAAAAGAATGACAGTATTGTGTCATGAGGTTGCTTAGATACTTTCTCAGTTTATGTATTTTATGTTTTTGTCACATAGAAAATCTTGATTGAAAAATCATTTACTTATTTGAGAGGGAGAAGGAGAGAGAAACATGAAGAAACATTTACTTTTTTGAGAGGGAGAAAGAGAGAGAAATCTATTTGTTGGTTCATTTTCCAAATGTCCCCAACAGCCAAGGCTAGGCCAGGCCCAAGCTGGGAGCTCACTCCAGGCCTTCTGCATGGGTGGCAGGGTGCCAAGTTCTTGAGCCATCACCTGTCTCCCAGGGTGGGCACTATCAGGAAGTTGGATTTGAGAACAGAGCTGTGGCTTGAACTTTGGTGTTCTGATAGGGAACACAGGCATCCCAAGCAGCTTCTTAAACACTATGGAAACACCAAGCCCAGAAATTTTGATTTTAGCTTCAGTCATACAGAGAGAGATATTCGCCACTTTGATATTAAAAGTTCTATTTGGTTGTATTTTCTTGGAGAGTAAGAGGAGCAAATCTTAGTAGTAATCTGAATTTAAGTATGGGTTGTGGAAGGTACTATTCTTACTAAAAATTCATTTCTTTCACGGAGCAGCAATTTTAAAAATAGGCAACCTCAACAGTAAGAGAATACATGGGAAGAAAGAAGGCCCTGCTTATGTTGCAGCAACCTTGGGGTAGTGCAGTCCCAGGAGAGGCTGCCCCACCTCCTCATTTCTGTCATCACAACAGGAAAAGATACTCTAGAAAGCCTGGCCCCATTCACAGCTGTGTCCCACAGTGAACTTCAAGATGAGACCTGATTTTGTTTTTTGGCTTTCCTTAGTGAGACCTGCAGGACTCAAGGTGGGAAAAGAGCAGGACAGTTGGTAATACCACTCTGCACTCTGATTACTCTCCAATAAATGGGCTTGGGAAATAAGAGTTGAGTGTTAAAACTGCTTAAACTGGTAGGTCAATGTCAGAGGCAGTGGCAGAGTCAGAGAACAGGCTGTCTCCATCAGGTCTAAGACTAACTGGGATAAAACGCTGTGGAGATGGGAGGGTTACAATGTCTTGAGCCAAAACGGTGACAAGAAGTTCAATGATGGGACATGCACGCAGAGAGCACAACAAAGATCACAGGACAATGATGCTGTCAACAATGGGACACACACCTTCAAAAATCCCTGTCACCTACTGATGTCACAGTGGCTCCAACGCACAGCACAATGCTTTTCTACCAGCTGTGTGGTGACACTGGTTTCAACAACCCACCATGCCACCATCCGTATAAAAATATGGCACATATACTTCTGTACAGTATGTAATACTTGACACTGACAATACATGACTATACCAACAGCTCATGTGTTGGCTATACTCAACTTTTTATCATTAGAGGGTACTCTAGCTACTGTTAACTGTAGAGCAGCCTTAGGCATATCACGTAGAAGGTGTCAAGGAGCAGATGTCCTCAAAGGAGACGATAGCTCCACGTGTATCACTGCCCTGAAGACCTTCCAGTAGAACAATATGTGGAGGTGGAAGACAGTGACACTGATGATCCCGATCCCATGCGGGCTTAAGCTAATATGCATGCTTGTATCTTCTCAACAAAAAATTTAAAAAGTGAAAACTGAAATTATTTTAACTGGGAAAAGGCACACAGAATACAAAGAAAGAAAACACAATTGTACAATGTTTGTATTATAAATTGTGTTTATAATCAAATCAAAATGTTAAAAAGTTTATAAAATAAAAACATTAAAATAAGTTGATTTATTACTGAAGGTAGAAAAAAACTTGTATTTTAGGCTAACGTAGCCTAAGTGTACAGTGTTTAGAGTATCTACAGTGTGCACACCATATACAGCATGTATAGAGCCTATGGTGTGCACACCACATACAGCATGTAGGAGGTGCACAGTGTGCACACCACATACAGCGTGTATGGACTGTACAGTGTGCATACCACATACAGCGTTTATGGAGTATAAAGTGTGCACACCACGTACAGTGTGTATGGAATAACAGTGTGCACACCACAGTGTATATGGAGTATACAGTGTGCATACCACGTACAGCGTGTATGGAGTGTACAGTGTGCATACTATGTACAGTGTGCACACCATGTACAACATGTAGAGAGTGTACAGTGTACACACCATGTACAGTGTATAGAGTCTACACTGCGCACACCACATACAGTGTGTATGGAACGTACAGTGTGCATATCACATACAGTGTATATGGAGCGTACAGTGTGCACACCACACACAGCGTGTATGGAGTGTACCGTGTGCATACCACGTACAGCATGTAGGGAGTGTACAGTGTGCCTACCATGTACAGTGTGTATGGAGTCTACAGTGTGCACACCATGTATAGTTTATATGGAATATACAGTGTGCACACCATGTACAGTGTGTATAGTGTGCACACCACGTACAGCATGTACAGCGGACACAACACACACAGTGTGTATGGAGTCGACAGTGATGCACAACCACTTCGAGGCCTTCACATTTACTCATCGCTCACTGACTGAATGCAACTTCCATTCCTGCAAGCTCCATTCATTGTAAGTGCCCTACAGAAGTGTACTTATCAAGTTCCCTTTTTTACCTCATATATATTTTCTACATTTAGATTTGTGTCATACACAAATACTTAATACCGTGGTCCAAGCATACAGTGTTCAGAGAGTAGCATGCCTAGGAGCAACAGGCATACAGCCTAGATCTGAAGTAGGTTATAGCATCTAGGTCACAGTATATTCTATGATGCCCACACAATGAACTTTGAGGAATATAAAGATGACAAGGTATCATTTGTGCATTGTGAAATCTTATAGGGGCATATCAGATATGACAAATTTCTTGCTAATGATTTATGGTCTGATGTTGGCAGTGAGGTAATTTTAACATCAGCAAAAGAATTAATATGCTTTGTGTGAGGAACCAGAATTCATTTTGTGTCAAGTAATTTCTTTTGTGTGTGTTTTTTATTTTATTTGAAAGGCAGAGTGACAGAGATAGTGATAGATAAAGAGAGAGAGAGAGAGAGAGAGAGAGAGAGATATCTTTTATCTGCTGGTTCATCCCCCAAATGGCTGTAATGGCTGGGACTGGGCCAGGCTAAAGCTAGAATCCAGGAACTCCATCCAGGTCTTCCATGAGGGTAGCAGGGGTCCAAGTACTCGAGCCACCACCATGTGCTGCTTTCCCAGGCACATTCTCAGGGTGCTGGATTGGAAGCAGAGCAACTGGGATTTGAACTGGCACTCTGATGTGGGGTGCTGGTACCACAAGCAGCAGCTTAATCTCACTGAAACTGACAGCAACCTGCTACCTTTCCATTGAAAAATGCAAACATCTCTACACGTGCTAGCTATCATTCACCATAAATTTGTATCTTGCAGTATCACAAAATTTTGACAATCAACTGCAGTGTACAAGTCAATGTTTATTATAGAATGAACAAAAGGTACCTCTCTTTTTCAAGTTCTTCTAAGTATCCAGTACTTTCTCTGCTTCCATTTACAAACCCTCTTCTTGGAAAGGACCCCGCAGGAACAGGACTGCACTCTCCTGAGCGACTGGATGCAGATCCTTCTCGGCTTCCGTAAGATCGCAGGGACATTTTTGATCGTAGTTTTACTCCAGGGAAATTACTGCAATCTAAGTTAAGTTCTAAATAAAAGACAATTTTTAATGTAACAGTTGGTTTTTAATATAACAATTGCTTTAAGAACTCTAAAATACTTTAAAAAAAAGAATTTATTCATGTGAAAGGTTGAGTGACAGAGAGAAGGAGACAAAGAGAGAATCTTCCATCCACTGGTTTATTCCTCAAATGGTCTCAAGGGTGGGGACTGGGCCAGGTTGAGGCCAGGTTGCCTAGAACTCCATCCAGGTCTCCTACATGAGTGGCAGGGGTCCTAGTACTTAGGCCATCTTATACCGTTTTCCCAGGCCTGATAGCAGGAAGCTAGACCAAAAGCAGAGCAATTGAGACTTGCCAAGAACTCTGGTGTGGGCTGCAAGTCCCAAGTGGCAGCACAACCCATTGTGCCACTTAACACCAGCTCCCCCAAAAATTTCTGATGCTACTGTATTGCTTTAAAAGCTAAGTCTTAGGTTCACATTTTAGCTACAAACATACAAGACTGAATAAACAATTATTTAGAATCAAAATGGCTAAACTTTCCCTGTAAAGTCAGCTTGGGTCAGAAGAAAATAAAGACTATGATAAAAGAAAATGAGATAAAATCCCCTTCCTTAGACTCTCTGGAGATCAGGGTGGGGGACCTTTTTTCTGCCGAGGGCCATTTGGATGTTTATAACAGCACTCACAGACCATACCCAAATTATCAACTTGAAAATCAGCCTGCTCTAGATTTACTGAATTCCGAGTCCCACCTGTGGTTGCCTTGTCAGGGCCAGACCAAATGACTGACTGCAAGCTTCAAACAGCTCGCAAGACAGACAGTTCCCACTCCTTCTGCTCTAGATAACACTATTTTGGGACCTAAAGGGAATCTCTCTGCTTAGCTTCAATTATTATAAAACACCTTGCCTGTTTTCACACTGGAATTTTCCAGTAACAAAGTAAGAAAGACATTCTTTCAACATTCTGCTAAAGACAGCTTACACGAGCTTACTTATGTGAGAGGCTAAGGCATTTGCAAAATCCGGATGGAGTAGAGGAAGACATTACCTTCCTCCAATGAGACCACGGGACAGTTAAATGTTAAACTGAAGAACTGAAAAGCAAATAGACTTTCAATAAACATTTGTAATTTAACAATTATAGCTTAATGAGTAAGTCAATGTGAAAGACAAGTTGACCTTAGGGAATCATTTTGAAACATCTTTTTGAATCTACCTTTAAGACGCTCTAATAAATCAATCTGTCCAGAAGAAGCCATAGCTTCATCTTCAATACTTCCTTGAAGTTGTTTAAGGACTTCCTGTTAAAAAAAAAATCAAAAAACAATATATTGAAGCTCCTTGAAGACATGCTTGCATATTTCTTGGCATTTAGGTATGCTGGAGAGAAAAGGTCTCTCCAGGTCACTCTCTAAATATGTCCTAAGTTGTAAAGCACTTTAGTAGGTTACCCATTAGTGTAATTTATCAGACCCCAGTGTTATCACGTGATAATGGCAATTATATGGAGTTTCTGTACAGGATAGTAAACGGCACACTTAACATTCATTATCTCTAACTTTTAAGCAATATAACAAGGTGAATTACTCTCATTTTTCAGATAAACCAACTGAGACCCAGAGACTTGACCAAGCCACAACAGCTAGTTATATGTCTGAAATCCGTATCTCTGAAACCATCATGACTAAAAAATAACAAAGCAGTACATTCTAATCTGGCATTTAACAATTTAATAAATATTCACTTTCTCACAGGCCATGTTTAAGTATGTTCTACTAGCCTACTGTCCCCCCTCCCCCCGCGCTTTTTTTTTTTAATTTGAGAGGTAGAATGAGAGAGAGAGGTGGTGAGAGACAAAGACAAAGGTCCTGCATCCACTGGTTCACTTCCCAAATGGCCTCAATGGCAGCAGCTGGGCGCATTGGAAACCAGGAGCCAGGAACTTCTTCCGGGTCTCCCACGTAGGTGCAGGGGCCCAAAGACTTGGGCCATCTTCTACTGCTTTCCCAGGCCATAGTGGAGAGCTGGACTAAAAGAGGAGCATCCTAGACATAAACCGATGCCCCTATGGGATGCCGGAGCTGCAGGAGGAGGCTTAGCCTATGATATTACAGTGTGGGCCCTGTCCCAATTCTTTACCTGAGACTTTAATCACATTGACTCCATCTCTCACAATTCTCATACACAGGTATTAGTTTTATTTTTTTCCTCTCTGTGCTTCAGTTTGGATATTTTCTACTGATTGTTTTTCAAGTTCAGTAGTTGTCTTTGCATTAGTTCACTAATTCTGTGTTCAGTCTTGTTAGGGTCCACACAACAAGTTAGTATCAAACATATCTATTCGATTATTACAGATTCCTCCTCTCTGCTGAAGTTTTCCATCTTTTTATCCATTTATAATATGTTACAATCCTTGAACACTCCAACACAGGGATCAGTCATCTCGGGATTTGCTTCTATTATCTATGAATATTTGTTCTCTTGATTATTAGTTATTTTCCTATTTCCCTACATTTCTTCTTCTTCTTTTAAGGATTTATTTTGTTTGAAAGGCAGATTTAGAGTGGAAGAGACAGAGGAGAAGTGTTCCATCCACTGGTTCACCCCCTCAGTTGGCCACAAAAGCCAGGGCTGGGCCAGGCTGAAGCCAGGAGCCAGAAGCTTCATCCGGATCGCCACGTCGTGGCCATTTGGGGAGTGAACCAGCAGATGGAAGAACTCTCTGCCTCTGCAACTCTGCCTTTCAAATAAATACATAAATCTTAAAAAAAAAGTATGATTTTTATACTTTATCCAGTGTTTTCTAGTAGTTGAATGGGACTGATTAGGTGGGGTTACACACTGCATACAACCTAGAAGTCCTCAGGTTCTTAAAGATGCAATGCAACTGCCAAGCAGTTCCAAGTGAAATGCTTCAGAAAGTGCTTTGAGAAATAGTAGTTTAAAAAATACATGAGAAATTTTGAAGGAGAGAATATTAATTTGTATTTATAAATTCAGTAAGTTTGGTCTAAAAGTTAATTACATTATACAAGCACATAATATTTTAAAACGTTTTAGGATTTTAGTAAGATTAGAGAATTACTCATTAGAGACATGCTGTGGTCAGATAAATAATGTCATTTGCTAATTAAGGAATTGTGCATTTCCAGGTACCTGCTACTTGATCCATGTCTATTTTTCACAGTGTGTCACAGATTCTTTTCATTCCAGAAAAAATAATTAATTAAATCTCCCATATAAATTATGAAATGTATTGATCTGAATTTTGATTTTGTCTCATTTCCCTTATAGGGAATGAAGGGATGAAAGATAACTACATGAAAATGGTTGTAAGTTTACAGGGCAACTTAGAAATACTTTATCTTGTTAAAATACAAGATGTCAAAGCTTCATTAACAATCTATCTACAGATAATCAAAATAGTTCTTCCTATATCATGCTCTCTCTCAGTTAAATGCTTTACGTCTCTATGTGTTCACAGGATCTGTTGCTATGCTCAGCATTCTCTAGTCAATTGAGTTTCAGTCCTCCAATAAAAAATGTGGTGCATACTCTCTTTTTAAGTTTAGCTACAATTTTGTATGATCTGATCCAGGCCATGTAGTTTCTGTGTTTCAACATGTATATTTTAGCAAGGTTCTTTCTAAACACAACCACAATGCCATCATTATATCTAAAATGTAAATATTCCCTTACCATTCTCAAATACACAGTGTTCATGACTCTAAGCCTCACATACCTGGCTGGCACACACACACACAAATTACTTTTAGTTAGTGTCAAAGCCACGTAATGAATAGCAAAGCAGTAGCCTCTTCTGCCACCAGGTGGTACCACGGTATGAACCATAAACTTAGTTAAATAATCTGGTCAGAGGAGAGATTTTGCCTTTCTTTGAATAAACAGGTCTATAACCAGGAAACAAGACTCAAAATTATATAACGTATTTCAAAGTATAGTAAGTGATTTTGAAATTAACCATTGTGTTTTATTAACTTTAATCCAAACAGAAAGTGTTGGTTTTTCACAAATCAATATTCTAAAACAAAATAAACATGTCCCTGCTCTTTAATCACAAAAAGCCTGTTTACGGAAGGGACACATACACAGTTTCTATGTGAGGCTGTAACGGCTCTGATGCCATAAGCCGAATCCCAGAGAAACGGATGGATCTGCAAGGATCTATGCAGAAGCATGTGCTGGGAAACAACCAACGTGTGGCTGGAGCCAGACAAAAACGAGTGCGTATTTGTACACATGTTCCTAATGTATACTCACATGCAAGAATTTCAAAATTTTTGTTCCAAAATACACTACCTTTGAATTCCATTTTCCGCAAACGTTTTGAAGTTCCCTCGTTTTTATGCCACCTGGATAAAATGGCCAATCTGACAATCCACTGTGGAAATCAAGGGTGTGACTTGTACAGTCTCTCTACGCCATTCCATGCAGCATGGAGATGTACGTGAGGGTAAGTTCAAATATCTCCCCCAAAATGAGTGTAGAACTGTCTCAAGTAGGTAAACATAAACTGAAAACAAACAGTTCTGGTTCTGTACTACAGAACAGACAGATAGGCCTGTTCCCTGCAAAACACAGCACACCAAAGTAGATGAAAAATATTCTAGCTCTATCGTTAAATGTTTAAAAACCAAATGCCATATAATTTGAGATGTATTGTGTTTATCAGTGTTAAAAACCCTTAAGACTCTAACTTATTATCCAGCTGATTAAGGTATTTTTTAAGGTCACTGTGGCAAGAAACACATGTCTGTACATCGTCAACCTATTTCCAAAAGGATTTGAAGTATCCTGGAGATCTGTCACTGCCAGGGACAATTTTACCAGAGAAATCAGCAGTTGGGAGTAGAAAAGACTGACAGAAAGAATAGCACATACGAACAAAGGGTTATAAACTGTTATGCTACTGAATTTAATCGGAAAAAGGATCAAATAGTTACTTCAGTGATGCACAAAAGCCTGGACAATAAGAGACTTTGAGATGCATGAGCAGCACAGATGAGGAAACCAGGAAGGAGTACTGAGAGCTGTGAGCAGACAGGCAGGACAGGGCAGAGATCCAGATGCTGAAGACAGCCAACGTGCGAAACACAAAGCAGGAGGAATTTTTTAAAAAGGGAAGAAGTGATCACTTTGTTGACGACCTCCAATTCTATAAAATTGTTAATTTCAGTGAAAAGAGAATCTGCTCAGTTTTTACCTTGATTACTTTAAAACTAGAACATGTTTTCCCCACTACAGATTGAATATTTGATAACTTTTCCTGAAGGCTATCATAGCCTTTCAGTGCTAATTGGCCTATCAATTTTAGGCCCCGAAGGTGCCATGGAAATCATCTAGGCTAGTATGATGATGCCTGCATTTTCTAAATAAGACAACTTCAGTCCCGTAGCAAAGCCAGAAGAGAAAAAGGTACCGACCCTGAGAGCATCCCTCTTGACCACGTGGCTTTTAAATGGTGACAAGATCTAAGGGAGGTGGGGAAGACAGCTTATTTAAAATTTGGGACCTACTCTAAAATTGTGAAGCTGGTTTTTATGAATGGCACAGAAGATCTGGCCTCAGGATACTGATGAACTAGTCACTGGGGTTTTACATGTATTTTCTTTGCATGAGTCACTGGATGAAGTCAATATATCTTACTAAAAATAGATTAACTTTTACAAGAAAGCTGACATATTGTTACTTAAATTAATACACTTTTAAGTCTTATCCCAAGTTTGCTACAGGGAATACGGAATAAAAATGGATAAACTACAATTAACAGTCACAGTCTTGATACCTTCATATTAGATGCCTCAGTTTCCAGTTTTGTAAGATGATTGGAATTATCCTCCAGCTCCTGTCGAAGGTTTGAATTCTCCATCTTCAGGGCCTCTACTTGCTTTAACAACTGATCATAGGAAGCCGCAGCCATCCTTGGCTACCCTGGACCTACAAGGTTAGAAAGGATTTTGAAATTCACTACTTAAAAAAAAGGAAGAGTGGCTCCTTGTTTATAAAGAGAGGGGTAAAGGAAACAAAACCCTTTGAGACATTTATAAGAAGAACGTGTTAATATACTGTTTTCATCTCCAGACAGCATTGTTCAAGTCGAAGCATCTTTCTAAGAAGATGAGAACACTGGGGTCTTTGCTGAGAACAAAAATGACTAAAATAAAGGAGAATGTTACAAGTATTTAGATACATCTGCCTTTTCACAGAGGGGTAAGATTTCTATCAAGTAAGAATTTTTTAAGGCTTTAAAGATATTTCACCCAATCTTAAAAGCAACACCTAGGGAAGGTAATCATTGATGAGAAATTCATTCTAATAATGTTAGTTTATGTCTGGACTTTGAGTCACAGAATTTTAGGACCAGAATAGATAGAAGAGATTATGTATTCTATCACTTATCACTTGCACAAAGGCTGGACTTACATATCCCCGGTGAAGTAGTTTTGAAGTGTCAAGCGTGCTTCCTTCAAAAGGTACTCATTTAACAAAATGGACACAAAGGAGAGAATTGGAGAGAGACTCTAAATCGTTGTTAGGAAGACAACTAAGAATTACTAATATAAAGAGTTTTCTTTTACTTTTATTCAAAAGGATGAATATCAGTAGGCCATTCTAGCAGGTGCAGTCTTGGGAGACACTGTGCTAGAACTGAGGCCAAAAGATGCAAAGGAAACAGAAGTCCTCAGGAGCAGAGCCTCACAGAAAAGCGATGCCACATCCGCTGTGCGTTTGTACAACTGTGAAGCAAGAGAGAAAGGGATGCCCAGAAGACAGCCAAGCAGTGAGAGGCCCCAGCATGCTGAATGATAGGACACTAGGGGTTTCCATTAAGACAGACCAAATAAGAATGAGGAGACTGGCTTTCTCTTTTTACTGTAATGCCAAACTCATTTCAGAATACATAAAATTCTGCCTGCCTTAATTATTTAATAGCTAAGAGATATTACACCATTTGTACTTAACCAGGACTTAAACGACAGGACATAAAAAAAGCTTCTGAACATGGGCATTTCCTTACTATAACTTACATCACGCAGCACTTCTGTTTTTCAGTCCGCCTATAAATTACATGAAATCAGGTAAAGAGAATAAGGCAGACAAATCCCAACACTGGCTACTCACAAGAGTACTGCAGTTCTGCAGGGGAGGACTCTGAACCAGTCACTTCTCAATGACCAGAGTCACTGATAAACCTGGTACAATCCAGGGACACAGGGCAGGCAGGTGAGCCCCTGGGAGCAGAGGTCACCTACAAAAGTCCTCATGGTTGCAGAGGAAGAGCACTGGACTTGTACGTGGAGACTGGGTCTTGATACAACCCTTATGAAATTAATCAAAAGGAAAGGGTACTTTGTCAAAGAACATTTGCTTTCTGCTTCAATGCAATTGGTTAGTAGTAAGTAACAAAAGGTAGGCTGAAAATGACTTCCTTAGCAAGACAATGTGGATCTACAGTTAAAACCTCCCTCCTCACACCAGTGGGCAAAGTACAGGAGTAATTTAGCCTCCAGGAAAGGACAGAGCAGAGGTCTCAAAAATGCAGAAATTCAGAGGAGTGATCATTTTCCTATTCATACCATTAATAAGCCTGTGTCTGGAAATGCACATCATACTAAAAAAGATATGGCAGAAGTGAGGACCTGACTGAAACCTTTTTATAGGTTTATAATCTTTATTTAAAATAAAGTTAACCAGCAATTTTACACTAAAATAATAAAAACAAAAGGAAAGGCACTCTCACAGAGGAAGAACCCAGTCAAAGGTAGGTAAATTGAGGCAGAGTCATTAGATGGTCAGGGGAGCACAGAGAACTCGAGGGCTCTGTGGAAGAGGGAGAATGTCAGTCCTTCAGAGGCACAAAGAGACCTGTGACGATCGCTGCCTACCTCTCTCAGAATCCCAACCATTAAATCCTGTCTGCTCTGGAAGGCAGCATGCCTTATCTAATTTTGTGGAAAAAAAATAAAAGACATTTCATGGAAGAGTATTCTATCTTTTAACCTTCTAGCATGTTGTGATAATCCTTCCCTAACTCCAAACTGTTTTATACAACATTCACGAAAGCATAAATTTACTTTGGAATGCCTTGTGTACAATCACCAGAATTTCATACCAAATATATATCTTAATTGCAAGTCATTCAACAACATGGTTTACAAATCTGAAACTGGTGTGATCACAGTGCAGCTGCCATGTCTTGTGAAAGGGGAAAACCTCTGATCTCTCCTTTTACTGAGACCATACAAACATCTCCATTTGTTTTTCTGTAGTTAATACATCTCTGGCCCCACAAGTGTTGGGTTAGAAAAAAGCAAAAGGACTGCTATCCAGATGCTTACTGGGAAGAAAAAGAAAGCCCAAGCATCACTAAGAAATTTATGGCAGGCAAAAGATAACTAGAATTAACTGTGGAGGGCACATGTACTGCACAGTGGCTGAGTGAGATGCCACTTGGGTCGCCTGCATCCCACGCCTGGGTTCAAGTCCTGGTTATGCTCTTGATTTCAGCTTCCTGCTAACATGGACACTGGGAAGCAGCTGGTGATGCCTCCCACTCATACAGGAGACCTGGACTGAGATTTTGGCTCCTGCTTACATCCTGGCCCACCACCAGCTGTTGAGGGCATTTGGAGAGTGAGCTAGTGGATGGGAGATCTCTGTATCTCTATCTATTTCTCTCTCTGCTTCTCAAATAATCAACAAAAAGTAGATGATTCATTATTACGAACTGAAGAAGTTTGGGATTCTTTTTCTTTAATTAATAGAACGATTTTGTTCATGTAAAAACAAAAACAATTTGCAGTACTTTTAGATGGTAACAAAACAAAATGCAAATACCAACAGGAAGACAGAAAATAAAAATAATCATAAGCTTGCAGTTTCGATAGACTATATATTTTTTAAAATACTAATTTATTTGAAAGGCAGAGTTACAGAGAGAATGAGGGTTTGGGGGGAGGGGAGGGGAGGGGAGGGGGAGAGGGGGAGAGGGGGGAGAGGGGGGAGAGGGGGGAGAGGGGGAGAGGGAGGGAGAGGGAGAGGGAGAGGGAGAGGGAGAGGGAGAGGAGATGAGAATGAGAATGAGAATGGGAATAGAGAGATCTTCCATCTGCTGGTTTACTTCCCAAATGGCCACAATGACAGGAGCTAGATTAGGCAATCCAGGAGCTTCTTTTGGGTCTCCCAGGTGGCTGTAAGGGCCCAAGCATTGGGCCAGCTTCTGCTACTTTCCCAGGCGCATTAGCAGGGCAGCTGGATCAGAAGTGGAGCAGCGGGACTGGAACGGGTGCTCAAAGGGGATGCTGGCGCTGCAGGCGGTGGCTTTACCTGCTATACCACAGTGTCAGCCCCAGATTGTATTTTCTAATACATTAGCTATCTCATACAGGTTTTCAAGTTTAAGACACTGTTTAACATACTACATACCGCAAGACAGTATCTGTGTTCAAGTCCTGCTCCTGATACTAGTTTCCTGCTAATGCAGAACCTGGAAGGCAACAGTGATGGCTCATGCAGTTGTTTCCCTGTTGCTCATGTAAGGGACCTGGATGGAATTCCTGCTTCTCAGCTTTTGCAATATTTGGGAAGTAAGTCAGCGGAAGTAAGCTCTGTCTCAAAAAAAAAAAAAAAATAATAAAAAAAATAAATAAATAAAAGAAATTTCACTCCGCTCCCCAAATCTGACACCAACAGAGATGGAAAATCATAGCAGGATTTACGATGACATTAGAAAAATCAATTCCATCATTCAACGTATTAATAGATTTACACAGAAAACAAGTTGCATGACCATGCCAAAAGTGATGAAAAGACATTTGCAAATCCAAGACCCATTCTTGTTGAAAATACTAAATAAAAAAGAACACTTCTTTAACACGGCTCCCAAGCCAGCAATCTACTTAAGTTGGAAACAGCAGATACAGTCGTAAAGTCAGGGAGGGCCCATAATTTAACATTCTATTGTTCATAACACTGGTTAGCAAATCAAATTAAAAAGTAACACTAGTCAATACAACTAAATTAATAAATAAAATTAGAAGGAATATTATTGGCATAAAATTATATATCTCAGCAACCCAAAAGAATTAACTAAATATTAGTATAAGATAATGTAGTAATATAGTAGAATACAGAATATACAGAAATCTTTTATTTATATGTCCAAAGAGAAACTTTAGAGATGAAATGGGAGGAAAGACTCTACATATGATTTCCAAAAATCTTTTAAAGTCTGTAAGTAAACATATAAATTTAAAGTATGAAAAAGGGAGCATCTCAAATACTTGAGCAAAGACTGACTTTAAATAAGCAGTGTTGGGAAGAGGAACAGCCATGAGGAAAAAGAATTTGCATTTATTCCTCATTCTACACACTAGAATAAACTGAAAAAAAAAAAAAAGAGAACAGAAATTTCAATGTTTAAAACTCACTTAAACTCACTTCACTGCACTGTAATTATGAACAGTTTTGTCTTTTAACTAATGACATTTAAATGCCTTATAGCCTTTTTTTTTTTTTTTTTTTTGGACAGGCAGAGTGGACAGTGAGAGAGAGAGAGAGAGAGAGAGAGAAAGGTCTTCCTTTTGACGTTGGTTCACCCTCCAATGGCTGCCGCGGCCGGCGCATCGCGCTGATCCGAAGCTAGGAGCCAGGTGCTTTTCCTGGTCTCCCATGCAGGTGCAGGGCCCAAGGACTTGGGCCATTCTCCACTGCACTCCCGGGCTATAGCAGAGAGCTGGCCTGGAACCATATAGCCTCTTCAAAGAAGGGTATTATGGTGGTGGCATAGGACATTTTAATTTTTTTACTTTTGCTTTATTTGAAAAGCAGAAAAGGAGAGCCAGAGATGGAAAGAGATCTCCCATTTGATGGTTCACTCCTCAGATGCCTGCAATAGTCAGGGTTGGGCCAAGCTGGGGCCAGTAGCCTGGAAATAT